TTCGTAGTTCAAACTACAAAAGGCTGAATTGAAGTCACGTAAATATGCAAATATGTAGGTGTTGGAGCCTGGAGGGTGAGGAGTAGTCTGCGTTTTGCTTTTGATATCTGACTGTTTTCTGCTTTTGGGTGTTGGTGAAAGGAAAGAGTTTGGTGTCTTTTGAGGTTAGAATTATAAAATCCCACCCCACATTATATTCAAAGGGACAAAAATATAAAGTTTTTCTTCTTCTTTGACTGCATAACATGGGCTAAACGACAAATGCTGCCCCTTTCGATTTAAATGGAGCCTTTGTAAAGTTGCCATCAAGAATAGAATATATTTTTATTTTCTAAGAACATTTTTGATATCCAACTTTTAGAGTGTTAAGTTTAAGGATTAATTATTAACAGTATAAAAAATCCCTTAATTGCGATACTTTTTTTAGGGCAACCATTGTAATAAAGAACATTATAAATATTATTTTAATGCAAGCTATTGTAATCAAGAGTATCATAAAAAGTAATTTATTTTTGTAGTTGATTGTAGGTGTGAGGAGGATATGAGTGAGGAATGAATGAGAGGCCATATATAAAAAAAGATGAGAGGATTTTTTTTTTTATTAATTTTTTGATATCTAGTAATCACATTGGATTTTGATTAATTTGAAATCGAGTTACGTCGAATTCCATTAAGGGGAAACTTAAAATTTTAATTAAATTTTAAATAGTAATTTAAAATTTTTTCTTATGTAGAGTATTTTTATTTAATAAAAAAATATAATTATCGTTTATATAATATTAAAAATTTTTATTTAAAAATCATATAATTAAAAAGTTAAATTAAAACTACTAAGAAAAATAGATAAAGAGAGTAATTCATTTATCATCAGATGCACAAAAGAATCAATAATAAGTTAGAGAAACAAACAAAATTTTCCATAAAGTTTGTGAAAAAAGAACACATAAGTGCAAAAGGAAAAAAAAAGTGAAATTTGAATGATGAAAATTTAGGGGCATTATTTGGGAGGATTAGCTAATAATTTGAATCCTTTAGGGTGGTCATGATGAAAAGCTTTTGAAACTGAAAGCCATTTCTACTTTGTTCTAAGCTGGGTCCTGATGTTGGGGTCAGTGCCGTGGCCCAGCCCAAGCTAATCGATGAGCATTGAGCGAATTAGATTTGAATGGGCTGGATCAAGATCCTGTACTTGCATCCTCACCCTTAAAACTCATCAAGGACACGCCGTTACACGTGTCAAGTACAAAAAAGGGACCGATAAAGAATAAAGATCTACATTTATTAAAAAAAATAAAAGAAATTATTTTTATACAATATTTTTATCTTATTTTATTATATAATTTGACATACCATTTAAATAATTGATTTTTTTAATTTATGTGAGACTTATAATATTAAATATATCCACTTATTTAATGATATATAAAAATTATATAAAAAAATTATCCTTATAGTACCACCTAAAAAAAAATAATTAAATAAAGATCTACAAAATACAAAATCCACAGTTTTAACAAGGCAGTCGACTTTTTCCAACCAAAGGGGGATTAAGGTATTAAATGTTACACTATTTCAAAATTATATTAAATTTTAATTAATTTAAAATTAAAATATATCAGATTTTATTAGAAAATAAGATTTTTTAATACTTATTTTTTATTAATAAGACTTAAATTCAAAATTAAGATGCAGTAGTAGCAAATTTAAGTAAATAATTTCACTATCTTAATTTATTTTGCTTGATTTAATTTTAAATTAATAATTTTTTAATTTGTTTTTAATAAAAATTATTATTAAATTAGTTAAATTAATAACTAAAGTAATTTTTTAAAATAAGTACAATTTTAAAAAAGAAAAATATTTAAACCCAATTCATGGAGCTAAATTGTGTACCTATACACCAAGTGACCTATAAGGGCAAATGCAATGACTAAAGTGATTTATGTTAAATGATCATTAGATTCACATTTGTTTTTTTAACATATTGGTGGGTAATAATGTATGGCAAGAGCATAAAGCAAAATGTGTGTCATGCCTCAACATATCATGTCAAAGCACAAATTTAGAAAGATATGGCTAATGATGAACCATTACATGCCGTCTCTTGTTTTCTTGCACTTGCTATCAATTTATTCCTTTTACCCACTTTTGAGTGCTTTTTGACTGAAAAGCAGATAATCGATGGTTGTATTGTGAATCAAATTATATTTCACTAGACTTAATTAGTTAATGAAATTATCATTTGCATTTGCCGCCTCATTTGAGGCGATAAAATGCACCCTTTATATTTTTGATTTATTAAGATTTAATTTGTATATATGACACTTATTTTATAGTGTAAAAGTATCTCCTTTTCTCAAAATCTTCATTGTTAAAAAAACAAAGAAGAAGAAGAAGAAATTATTATTTGCTTCAAAAAAAAAAAAAGCACATAAAAGTTGAAAGAAATAGTTTAAAAATAATTTATTTTACAGTTTATATTATATTAAATTATAAAATAAATATTATTAAACAAAAAAATCCTAATATTAAAAGATTAATATAGTATAATTTAATATAATTCAAATTATACTATATTTTTTTTAACTCAAAACACAGCAAAGAAAATCTTTATTTTTTACTATTTTTTAGTAATATGGAAGGAGTTATACGCATGCACTAGCATTACTAGCTCATTTTATAGAATATTGTTGCCTAAGATATTAAAAAAATAGTCTATAAATTATTTATTAATAAAAAAAGTTAGCACAATTAAATTAGAAACAAAAGGGTAAAAGAGAAACTAATGGCTTTTTAATATGCTAGTATTGTTTTGTTAACAAGCTTTGCTTGTTTCATGATGGGGAGAATTTGAGGGATTATTATTTAATTCCTTCAACCATGCCCATCAGTATGACCACCCACTTCTTGGTTTTAACCCCAAATAAATTTTCTAAATATTGCATGCTTCATCACTTGGAATTTTTTTATTAACATTGTAGGAAGGCAGATGGAATTATAGCTAAAATAACTTGTTAATTTGCATAGGGTGGAATCAATTATCCCCTAGCTGCTCCCCATGTTAATCTTGATATATATATATATATATATATTTTGCCCAACCTTTTCGGCTAACCTTTACATTCTTTATTCAATAGGTACAAAGCGTACTAACAAACTAATCCCATAGTTTTTCAAATATAAGTTTTCTATTAATCTTTGCTTAAACCGATGCATTGGCCATATTATATATTATGCTTAAGCAAAAATATATCTAAATCAAAATAAAAATCCATTAATTAATCATACAAAAAGATCAAACAATGATATAAAAAGGGTCATAACGAATGTAGGACAAGAGTAATCATCATAAAACCCTTTATTTCAATTGCACTTAAGATGAGATGAGTTTGTGTATATATATGTTTATCATCATACATTGTCATATAATTCCCTTTGAGATCTTGTTTGAAAGAATGAACAAAATGTCCCCAATAAAAGCACCCAACATTTAGATGGGTGGGATCATACAGCAACAAAGCAAATGGAGAAGTGCAAGGAAAATATTGGTAAGTGTTGTTAGTGTTTTGCTAATTATAATGCACATGACTAGGTGTGTAATGTGGAGAATGGACCCCACCACACGGCCTCCTCTCTTCTCTTGGTAAAACAAAGACAATGTACTTGGGGAACTCCACCATATGTAGTGTCCCTCTTTCTTGTCCCCAAATCATACCACTGTGAAACGATGAACTATTGAACAATTCCCTTCTGCCTTTATTTTATTTGGATGACAAAACAAATCCCAATCCCATTTCCTTTTAAGACGAAACAGAGCCTGCCCATCTACCATAGTACCATTTGTCCCTAAACTATAATATCCCCATTGATTTTAAATGGGAAAAATTCCAGAAAACCCGCTTCTCATCCGTAAAAACAAAACAAGACCATACCCCACAAATTAACTCATCTTTGTTGGGTGTAATGATTTGGTGTATTTATTGTGTGATGGAGTTTTGTATTCATGCCTACTGGAATCTTTCAGGTAAAGATTGAGATACATACCGGTTAAGCGCCTTAACATGAAATACAAAATTGTGAGATATTAACTTTCTATTAATTAGAAAATTCATTGTGATATCTTATGATGAACTAGAGAATTTATTTATAAATAAATTCTTCAGTTTAGAATAATTTGTAAAATTATAGAATTCAAATAAAATTTTAAAAAAATATTTTTAAAATAAATACAATGAGTTTTATATTCCATTTTTCAAAGAATACCCTTATTATTTGTGAAGGAAAGTGATAGGGTTTAGATTTAAGAGATTTTTTTGAGTAATTTAAATGCTTTGAATATAAAAAAGTGTGAAGTTGATTTCCAAATTTGATGAGAATTGAATTAATTTAAACCAATTTCATGATATAGAAGTATAGAATTGAATGCTACAATTTTTAATTAAGCCAAACACAATAGTGCATAATTGAAATGAAAAATTTTTATCATACCAAACATAACGACTTGAATTAGTAATGAATTTCATACTTTTTTGCAAAATTCATTTATTCCAAACACACCTTAATTGGTGAAAAGGTTTTTGATTTCCACCCTTTCATACAATATGGCTAAGGACACCCACAAGCGCTAGCTTGGCTGCAATCTGAATTGGTTGAACATTATTAGGGAAGTGGGCATCTGCACTGACCACCGAGGCAGAGAGCTTGTTCCCCAAGACATGGAACTATTTTGCAGTCAGATCTCGTTTTACACGGCTCTCCTATAGCCCCCGCTTTTCCTAAAAGAAACATGCCTACACACCAAAAACTTTTCATTATGATAAATCTTTAAAAAAAGAAAAAAAGTATTTGGGAGTTCAAAATGTATTAAAACACAAAACATTAAACATTGGATGATGACGAGGGATCCCTAATAATGAGTTCGAAACCTTTCTATTTAATTATTGGTGTTTTTTAATTTAAAATAGTTTGAATTATAATAACATTAGACTCAAATCTTAATGTGGTTTATTCCACCAAAAAAAAAAAATCTTAATGTGGTTTTAAAAAAATTTGTGAGTACTTTTGTGTGTACTTGAGAAAGAAAGAGAATTTGAAGAGGAGAGGGACTAACTCATGGCAATGAGCAAGAGAACTGAAAACACAATCTTGAACGAAACTTTCTGCATATCTTCTCTATTGTGTTTGCTCCTTAGAAAGTGAATGTTCTCTGATATGTTGGAGTATTTAAACAAAAAATATTAACTTGTAATTTAATTTGCTTTTAAGTAAAAGTCGGTTATGTGTAATAATATGTTTAATGTTGAAAGTTGGTCTTGAAATATTCATGATGAATTTCGGTTACAGACATGGAAATTATAGAGGGTAACGTTTAAGCTATTTAATGACTTCGGTTTCACATGCCTTCAATGGAAAAACCCAGTTTCCTCATGTGTCTATACATATATATAAATGCAATGTTATAATTATAATGTAACGTAAAATTATAAGTTTACAATCTTATATAACATTAAATAAAATATGATATTGTATTAAATCAATAAATATATAATATTCTGAGTAGATTCTTGAATTAAAAAAAATTAATTATATAAAGATAGAATGATGCTATAAAAACAACCTTTTTATATCATCTTTTGGTACAATTTTCTTATGTCATTAAATGAGTGAATGCATTTAATATCATAGATGCTATATGAATTAAAAAACCGATTATATAAATGACACGTCATATTGTACAAAAAAGTAATACAAAAAAGTAATACAAAAAAGTTATCTCAAAATCATTTCTCATAAAGATACATTATATTATAAGTTTACAATATCACATAATATTATAAATATAACTTTGTCAATATATAAAATGACATATATTAATCTCTATTTCTATTAAAAAAATAAAATCCTATATAACTTTGAAACCGTCGCATTTCAATGAATATTTTAAAAATTAATTATTAAATTTAATATTTTCTTAATATAAATTATTTATATTAATTTTCATTAAATTAAATATAACTATTTGCATAATTGCATGTTTCATCGGGGACTTTCCCAATAAAAAATCTAGGCCAGGCTAGCTAAATTTGTTGTTGGCTTGGTTCATTCTATTTGATTTCTTAGCTAGGAAAGTGGATACGCAATTTAAAGCTTGAGGTACATAGTTATAAGAGTTTAATTTTTTTTTTTTTTCCGAAAACCAAAAAAAATAAAAAAGGAAAAAGGAAAGAATATTTTCCTGGTGATACAATCATTTATAGTAACTATTTTTTTTTCCGTGCATTGCACAAGTTGTCCTTTAATTTTTTATATTATTTTTTTATCAACTTTTAAATTTTATAATAACTTTTAATTAAAAAATTCTAATTAAATGATTAATATTGACTTTAAAAATGTTGACTTTAAAATTACTTTTGATAATTGGTAATTTTCATCTTATAATCCAAATAAATCCTTTCCTTAAAAAGAAAATAAATCTCATAATATCAGTTATCTTACACATTTTATTTTTATCAATCAAATGTATTTTTTAAACTAAATATATATTTTAATTTGTTAGACTCTTTCATCATTTATTTGACTTATAAAAATAATAATTTTAATTAATCTTTTACATGTTATTTTATTTTTTTAATATTAAGAATGTTTTAGTATCTTTACATTAGTTTTGGTTTTAAGTTATATTAATTATTATTTATAATACATTTAATACATTTTAAAATATAAAATTACTATGCCATTAAAATCATATAATAAAAAATTATTAATTTTAAGTTAATGTAAATTACTCAATAAATCCTAACTAAAACTTTCTAACCACTATATATTTTCTTTATCCATTCTTTATTATATTCTATCTATCTCTAATCTCTATATACTATTAGGATGTTATCAACTTATCCTAAAAAATTAAATTATAAAAATAGTGACTCTTCATTTTCAATCATCATCATTATAATTTATTATAATATTATAATTGTAATTATGATTACATTTCTTTAATTAATTTCTCAATAAATCCTAACTAAAAC